CCACCCCCCACCCCGCCGCTCCCAAACCATCCGCCCCTGGGGCCTGGCTCGGAAAAGTCCTGAGGCAAATCGTTTTTCTGCCAAATTTCAGTGTGTACGATGTAGAGAGGCAGAAACCAGAAGCAGTAAAAGTGAAAACAGAAAGAAAGGAGACTCGGAGGAGAAGGTCGGAAGAGGCGCGGGAGCTGGCCGCCTGCCTGGGGGCCACAAGCTGGGGTCCAGAGGGTCTCGCGGGGCCCGTCCTTCTCACGCCCACCAGGCCCAAGACCCCACGTCAGGACAGTCACCCGGACCAGGGGCACAGCCCACAGCCCTCCAGGCCCGGCCCCAGGGTGGGTCCCGAGGGCCCAGGGGCGGGAGGGGGTTTGCTGAGAGGGTCCTGAGGGTGCCAGCTGTACGTGTGGTGCGGCCGGACTGTGTCCTGAAGGCCTGTGCCACGTCCACGCATGAGGGCAATGGAGACCCTCCCCCCGGAAGGGCAGGCCAGGCAGGGAGCAGGGGCTCTGCCCTCACTGAGCATGTGGTGCGGCTTGGAGCAGCTTTGTGCCTCAGTTTCCCCAATTCTGCAGCCACAAGACTGCACTCAGAATCCCCATGCCCTGCTGACTCCAATACTCTTGGCCGTGTCTGGACCCTTCGAGGACACCAGCGTCCACGATGCATCCTGTCACCCCTCAGCCCTGGGTCAGGGCTCTGCAGGGCTCGAGTCACCCCCATGGTGTGGTACCTGGCGGGGCCACTCCTTGACCGGCGCCCCCCAGGGGGGGTGGGGCGGGGCTGGGCGGGGCCGGCTTCATGCTGTCCCCGGCGCCCACCGTGTTCTGTGGCCCCAGCCTGAACTGCAGGGGGGTCCAGGCTGCATCTCAGTGTCCACGATGGTGAAATAACATTTCCTGGAAATGAATTTATGAGGTTCCTGAGGGTCTGTAACTAGTTACTGAATTCTTCCCGCCCCTCCCGCGCTTCGGCAGCTGGAGATTTCCTCCCCACCCCCCTCCCCAGCAGTGCACGTGAGGCCCCTCACCTGCCCCCGGAGCGCACAGCCAGGCCGCAGCAGCGCAGTGACAAGTGAGGGGCTCAAGGTCAGGTGCACGGGGCTCGTCACAGCGCGGGACATGGCCCGAGGCTCCAGCCGCCCGTGCCTCAGGCTTCCGGTCTCCCGGGGGCCCCGTCAGCAGGGATAGGAGGCCTTGGAGAGGGGCCCCGGCACTGCTGTGTGGTCTGCACGTGCCCGCCCTCCCTCCCTGCTGACTCCTCTGAGGCGGGTGATGAAGGGCGTCGAGGTGGGGGCCCCTGTCTGTAGGGTGCGGAGCTCGCCCTGCAGCCCCAGGGGCCAGGAGCTCATCACCGGGAGGCGCAAGGCCCTGCTTTCCTGCCGCACGTGACGTCACGAAGCCTGAGGAGGGGCCTCTGAGACCACCAGCCTCGGGGTCCCAGGTCCTCTGCTCAGGATGCAGTCGCCGTCCTGTGCTGGGAGCCCTGGTGTGGCCGCCTAGCACACCTGCCACACGGACCACAGTGTCACTGAGTGTGTTCTGTGTCCCTGAGGTCAGGTAGGCTCTTCTAGAAGCAATTTTCCCAGTAGCGTCTGTGCTGCTTGTGCACGTGATTACTTGTTGGGAAGACACGGAGCCCCAGCTGCCAGCCCCTCCCACTCCCGCAGGAGCCTCCACTGCGCCCGGGACCCACCAGTCCTGTCCAGAAGCTTCCGCCCACTCTGTGCCCACCCTGAGCACGCGGGACCTGCAGCCACACTCCCACCAGGCTCCAGGAGGCAGCTGTGTGTGTCCGAGCCCTGTCGGTATAGATTTCCCGGGCTGTGAGCGCGGCCGGCCACGTGTCCATGAGCAGGGACCCTCAGCCAGAGACACGGGCCCCGCAGCCCCCTTTCTGGATCTTCCTTTCAAGGACAGAGGCAGCTCCACCCAGACTTCTAACCACCCTGTGACAGGTTGGAAATTCACGAGTGAAAGTTGTCTGCCACAGAGACCTCAGAGCACCCGGCTGGGCTCCCGGCGGCCCCGGGGCCTTTGCAGCAGGACAGCGGGCTCCCACGACCTTCGCTGGGCCTGGACACGGGTGGACTCGTATGACATGAATTGCTCACTTGGACTTTCTGAAAGCCAGCGTCTACACGGCAGTGCTAGGACATCCCCGTGAACGTAGGTTCTCATCCGGAACAGCTGAAGCCAGTGAGAGTCGTTCCACCTGGAAGACTGGCCCGTGTGCGTAGAACAAGCCCATGGTCGTGGCTCAGGAAAGCACACGTGAGTGTGAACACACCTCGTGGGGCCGTCAGGGAAGGGCGGCTGTGTGACTTCTGTGTATGTGAAAGGAGAGGCGAAGGGCTCGGCTCAGCAAGGGGAGCCGGAGGAGGGGGCGGGTGCTGCCCGTGACACAGGGCTCAAGGCTGTGCGACCTGCAGGCGTGGCCGCCCCCCGCCCCCCCCGGGCGGCTCCCTGCCCTCACAGCGGGAGGATGGGGTCCCACGACAGGGCCCCAACACCGCGTAAGCGAGGACGGCCCTCCTCTGCCGCGAGCCCTGGCTCCACGCCTTAAACACAACGCAAAGTCGGTGCAGACTAGGATTTACCACCTAAGAATTTGAGGAATTTCCTCCCGTCTGAGAAGAAAACTCCCTCCATGTCACTATGGCGGGGGCGTGAAAGGCCTCTGTGCTCCTGGGGGTGGGCCTTCCCCTGGGGCTGCCCAGCTCGGTCCAGAACATCGGGGCGCCCGGGCTGGGGCAAGGGGCCTGGCGGCCGCAGGGCCCACACCTGCCGCTCCCCCTTCCCGGGCCCAGGTCCTCCTCTGTCTTCCTGGCAGTCCTGTCCCCATCACTGTCCCGAGAAAACTCACCGCTGGCCACGGGCGGGAGGCCACGGAGGCCCCCGCCCCAGTGGCCGTAGCTGGGAGACAGTGCCGGTCGCACACCCTCTCACTTTGGGAAAACACACGCAACAATTGTAAACTGACACCCAATTTGTCACTTCATCCACGGAAACTTCGTGGCTGGAAACCAAGTCTCTGACAGACGCATCTGCTCAGTCCCCGGCCGACACCTGAAGGCAGCGGGAGCACAGGCCTCTCCGCAGGCTGCTGGCCTCCAAGGGGCCGGGGGGGGGGGGGGGCTCGCGCTTAGCGCCCTGCCCGCAAGGCCAAGATGGCGCTGGGCGTCGGGGCCAACGCGGCGGTGAGCTTGGAGAAGAGGCCCCAGAGGCAGGACGTGAGAGCGCAGGCGGGGAAACCCTTTCGTGCAGGAAGAGCGGGCCGCAACGCGCCCTTGCCGCGTGGGAGACGGGACTAGTTCTGTCCAGGGCAGCAGGGCAGGTGGCCCACGTGGGCCTCTGAGGATTTCCTTCTGGGTACACTTGACTTTAGAACCACGTGACCATGTGCTGCAATTATAAAGAGAATTCGACTGAAAACAATCCCTAAAAGTGAGGGGTTTGGAGAAACTGCATCAGCTGGAGGAGGGGTCCCTGTCACCTGAGTCCCCAGGAAGCCCAGGGCTCCAGGACCGGCCTCAAGGCCCTGGTGAGCAAGCTTCTCCAACACCAGCCAGGGGTTCCCACCCCGCCCTGTGGTCCCAGCCATGCCTCACCCCCCCCCCCCCCCCCCCCCCCCCCCCCCCCCCCC